GGGGGGGGGTTGGCGGGTAGGGGGTGCATTGAGGAACCTGGCCTTGGGGCAGCAAAGAGAGTAAATCCAACCCTGCATATGGGTTTACCTTGCTGTTGATTACTGAATGTTCTACAACATTTTGCCGATCATGTTCATCGGTGCAGTAGACTTTGCATACCTCTGTCACCCATATGGCTTCCTGACGAGTTTGCCGCATCTTCTGTGTGAGTTAAGTGAGTAAGTTACAACCCCCATTTTCACATTCTTAAGTTTCATACACTGTTCCTGCACTGCTCTCTGCTGTTTTAGGGGTTACAGTATATAAACAGCTGTGGGCCACCTCCTGAGTTGCCCCCAAACATCAGGTATAGAAAATTATGCAAGCCCAATAGCTCAGTACACGTCTACTTTAAAAATGGGATTCGATCACCCATGGTAAACTCTGTTAAAGATCAGACTGCCTGCACTTAAGATGCATTCAGTGGCCAAGTCTTAAAGTCTATAGCTGACATTATCCAACAGTACTACTATAACATATCTTCAGATTGTGCTTAAAATGACATAGCTGTAGATAAATGTAATAAAGAAATGTGACACCACAGTCTTTCCACATACGTTTGGCAATAGTCTTGAGCACATCTATTATTAGGCTGTTGTACAGCCCTTCACCCTTTACAATTGCCCTTTTCTCTGTATCTGTACATGCAGAAGTTTGCCGAGCCAAAATACTGTTCTGGGAATAATCTAATAATCTCACATTATTCACTTTCTCTTTTACTCTCTTTAGTTTAGGTTTAAAGCAGTAGTGAACAGACTCTAACATTTATCCATATGGTAATTATAACTTATTTTAATGCATGTAATCATTTGAAAGTCATAATATATCTGTCGAAGAAACTGTAGCGCAATACTAACAGTTTCTCCATTGACCTAAAACATTTTCTATTAGTTCAGTTGTCACCAACTTTCCAGATAGTTGTCATACTAGTTTTGTTTAAGGATTTGTATACAGTATCTTTCTGTTTAGAATTTACAGCTGAAACACAGATCCATGTCAGAGTTATCTTTGCCACGACATTCTACAATCCAAGTTGTAGTTGGCCAGGCTATGTTTCCAAAAGTTGCAAAACATACCTATTTGTAACGTAACAATTTATTCAAACCATCCTGCTTGGTATGGTAATCTGAGGCAGTCTGTCTTGTTTTCTCTAAATTGTTTGCATTGTACTTCATGTACACAGGCAGGGTCTAGTATGTTGCCATTGCTCACTCTTCTGCTTCCACTATACAATCACTGCCCAACATTTCTTCATGAACATTTACTCTTTATATTTCTACTAACATTTCCATACAGTTGGTGTTGGTCATTTTTGGACTCCTTCTTATGTGTACGTAACGGAACATTGTAAATAAACATTTTCATATAATATGATGCATTGAAAATATTATGTTACAGGAATATATATATATACATATAT